TTGAACATTCAATTCCGGCACACGATATTCATTCATTAAAGCGGGCAAGACGGTGAATGGAGCACACGTTTCGGCTACGATAGCTATTATTGTAGAAAAAATTACCGTAAATAAATGTCTCCGCACAATAAAGCATCAACATTCACCAAAAAAAAAAGAATTAATAAATAAATAAAAAGCCAATATTACCAATAGCAACAGTGGTACAAACTCTGTTTTGACGTTCTTGAACCTTTAAATTATTAAGCAAAGTTGCTAAAACATCCTGAGGACCAATAGCTTTGGCGATGTAGCCAAATGTGTTTACCGTCGCTCGACGAATACCTTTTTTGTGCGCTTTAAGCATATCCAGTAACTCAAAACAAATGCGCATCCACTCACGCGCACTCACAAATTCTGCTCCACGATCAGCAATACGACCAACAAGATCAATGCATGATTCTTGTACTTTCTGTTTTTTAAATAGAAATAGTATTCATATATATAAATAGAAAATATTCGTTTGAAAATTAAAATAAGGTAATTATTACCTCATGTCGATTCTTCAAGATAGGTGTCAGACGAGGGAGGAGATCTTTGATAGGCGGTGTCATGCTGGACATTCCAATAACATTAACGATAGACTTCAAACCTCCTAATATAGATCCAAGAACTTCTGGATATTCTTCTCCCAAATATTCATAAAGAACAACACCAAGGTGACCCATAAGTTTTTCTTCGCCACAAGTTTTCATAACAACTGCTATCCGAGAGATCAGATCAGCAGCCTGTTGACGAACTTTTGCAGACTTATTGTTGAGACGCCACAAAATAGTTGAAGTAATCTGTTGTAAATAAGGCTTTACACGAAGACCCAAAGCGTTCACAACAGTACCAAAGCCATTCAGCATGACAATATCTTCCACCGTTTGTTCTTGGAATGCGTAGAGAATGCCATCAATCAGCACTTCCTCTAGACGAGTGTCAATATCAGCAGCACCCAACTGACTAACAACTTTTTCAACCGTCTCCATAACCATCTTTCTGTATGGTTCTGATTCATCTTTTAGATCTTCAACAATTCTACCAACGATTTCGGTGACACCAACCTTTTGTGCTAGTTCAACCGTTGTCTCCACAACTTGACGATAATTTCGACGGTCAAGAGCCATACGTCGAACCCAGAAATTCTTGAAAAATTCGGGAAGAATTTCTTCTTTAATGTATTGTGGCTGAACTCCGTCAGTTGCAGCGCATTGTTTAACTACTTTAAGAACAATTTTCTTCATTTCTTCGTCAGGCGATTGAAATTCACGAATCAAAATTATCATGACTTCTTTCGTATAATAATTTGCATATTCTGCATCCATTAATGGAATAATGTAACCAATGGCTTTCAAGAAGGCAGCAAGTCCCTTGCCACGATGTTTACGAATACCAGTCCATAAAGGCTTGAGAACTGAATCAAAGGATTCAATACCATATGGTGCTGCAGCCTCGGCTAATGCTGCAATCGCGAGCGCAGTAATCGTACGAACTTTTTGTTGTTCATCCTACATAACAAAATAAAAAGATATTAAATATACGAAAAATACAAATTATTATATTAACAAACATAATCCACACCTCAAGACCATGAGCGATAGCCTCAACCAAGTTTTTCAAATGCGGTAAAACAGCACATCCCATCAATATAGCAATTTGTTGAACAATTTTAATACCAGTGTGCCTAGCCTGCCAAGATTTTTTACTCTTACACACGGCTTTCAAAAATGGCAGAAGCGCCGGAATACCATGTGCAGAAGCGACGACTGAAAAGGCACGGGCCGTAGTGTTACGAACATATTCGTCGACATGGTCGATATCTAACGGAAAGGAAAGTCTTATTAACTTAAGTTAAATCGCATCTGAATTTCATATTTGAATTATAATTACCTGGTCTCATTGTGGCAATCATAGTTGGTAACCCAGCCGCTTTACTCAAATTGCTGATAATTTCGCGACCCTCTGTAAGTAAAATAGATATACATGAGATTGCATTAATATAAAAGTATAATGTCAGAATATTGTACTTACCGCATCTTGCAAAATAATCTTCGTCGATTAAGAGCGGCTCAATGACGACAAGGATTTTGTGAACATAAGGACGAACTAGGGCATCAAGCTTGTAAAGTATACGGTCAATAACCTTTACTAATAAATGACGTTCCTGATCTTCAAGATTTTGAGACATTAAAAGAGGAAGGATTTGGTTGAAAAGAGGTCCTGCCCCAAAATCCCTAGCTTTATCGGTGATTTGCCGAAGTGCAGTTTTTCTCATTGGTGGGGTTCCATTCTTGATCTTCAAAAGCAAGCGCATAATTTTACGTTCCTTCAGTTCTTCAACAGATAACTCACTTTCATCTTTATCATCCAATAATTTGCCAAAATGTTGCATGTCTTCTTGTTTAAAGAACGGCAAATTTCCCACACCAGGAATTTCGGCAGGTAAATCATACGTTTGACTTCGATCTTCTTCTAACATGACAAAACCGTCAGCTGCCATAGGAGTCGGTGTGGCCATCAATTTGCGTGCAGGTGTGCGAATGGGTACATAGCCTGTTGGAGGATCTAATATCTTATAACCTGTTGGAGGGAACATAGCATCAAGTTCCTCATCTGTAAGAGGCCTGTTGCGAGCATCCAAATCTTTTTCCCATCGCTGAGCTATTTTTTATTAGAAAAATTTATTAATATAAAAATCATAAAAATTCGAAATGAAAGATGTTCTTACCTTCAGGAGTCATGGCAACAAGGTGGCCAGGTGTCGGAGTGAGAAGCCCAAAGTTTCCAACAGGGGTAACACCAATTTGTACGGTTGGATGTGTAGGGGTTTCGTCCCAACGAGACTTTTTTGCAGAAACTTGCGGAGTAACATCCCACCTACTTCTTTTGCGAGGTGTATCCATTTCTTCGTCTGTTGCCCTCGGCGTTTCGTCCCATCTACTTTTTCCGGTAGGAGCTGCTTCATCATCAGATCTTGACCACTCTGATTTTGTTTCTATGGGTGTTTCCATATCCCATCTTCGTTTTTTTTGAGTTGTGACTTGTTCTGACGCAGCTTCCTTGGCTTTTTGTTGCTCTTCTTTCTTTTTTTCTTCAATTTTACGTTTGACTCGTTGTTCCTCCTTTTCGATCTCTGCCTCCCGCATAACGTCTGCATATGTTCTTGATTCACCTTTTTCCTCACCTTCCGCAAAGGGATCATTCCTCTCCGGTGAGATCGCTCGGTTCAATCTTCGTGCATGATATTCACTTTGCCTATCAATGATACGACGTGATCCCGTACGCTCTTTAAAAGGATCTACGTCTTCGTCGTTATCTATAAGATCCTCGAACACCTCATTAGGTGCAGTATAAGTTGCAAGACGTCGAGTTTGAACTGCGTCTTCTGTTTACACAATTTAAAATTAATTTATAAACTACATGGAAACTCGAAATAATTGGTAATATGCATTTCCAAGATTCCGACTTACCTGTGGCCATTGTCTTATAAACTTTTAAACAGAGAAGGTTCAGGAATTTTATTTATTT